TGCCGTAGAAAGATGGGTTCAAGACAATGCCACCTGCAAGCAGAAAACCAGAGCGTTAGGCAAGCTGGGCACAGTGCTTTCTAGTGCAAGAACCCACAAATCAGTAAGGGGAAAAAGGATACTGTCCCAAATAACTACAGTCTACTCCATCCTATGACTCCACTGCCAAAGACAACTGTTACAACCTGTGACATAAATTAGGCATGATCAGAGCAGAAAGGAGTCTCAAAAGATAGTATGCACACTCTATTTATTTATTTATTTATTCAGATAAAAATACTAATGCCTAGAGAAGTGAGGCAACTTACCTAAGATGATTTCAGACTTTAAAAATATTTATGCTTAATAGAAAGTTATTGTGTATGGTGATTCCACACTATTTGAAAGGAAAGATATGATCAGAATTTAGGGACTGTTAAAAATCCCTAAATTTTGTTTAGGCTGTTAAAATCTTTTTGCTGCAGCCTTTAACTTAGAAAGTAAGACATGCCATGGTTTACAAACATTCTACATGCTCTTGTCTAAATTAACCCCACAGGCTCAGATAGTGCTATGACTTGAATGTGTCCCCCCCCAACACTCATGTGTTAAAAATTGGTTGCTATTGTGACTGCATTAATAGGATGGTAACTTAATCTGACAATAAAATTAAGAGATGGAGCCTTTGAGAAATTATTAAAGATTAGATGAGGCCCTCAGAGTGGAGTCCCCAAGATTGAATATGGGTTGCTTTATAAGAGGGAGAAAGATCAAAGCAGACATGTTCGTGTCTTCTGGCCATGCAATTTGCTAAACTGTCCCTAGACTCTATAGGGACTCCTTCCCAACAAGAAAACCCTCACTAGGTATGGTCCTTTGACCTTAGCCCTCCAAAGCCATGAGTTGAGTAAACTTTCATTTTATCAATTACTCAGTCTATGATACTCATTTATTAGCAATAACAACGGAAACAGACTAGAACAGATACTTTAGTTCTAGTACTCATTTTGTGTTCACCAATTCTGTGACATTGAACAAGTCAATTACCATTTCTGAATCCCATTTCTTATCTCTGATATTCTAAGAGCACCAACACTCATGAAGGCCAGTACCATGCTAGGTTCACCATTATAACAGTGATCTTTCTAGACAGAGTTTCTTGAGCACTTATTATGCATCCTCAGGCCCTGTGTGGAGTATTTAGTGTGTATAATCACACTAATCATCTCACAACTCAATGAAAAGAAACGAATTCCCAGAGAGATGAAGTAACTGGCCCATGATCAAGAGTAAGAGTAAGTGATGAGGTGAAACTCGAACCCAAGATCTTTGTGTTCTAACACCAAGGCTCTTAATCTGCTAATGTCTTCATAGAGCCTAGACTATAGAATCTCCCTAAAAGTGTACCCAACATTTTCTGAGAACTGATTAGCCTCAAGAGATCTAACTAATTATTCATAAGTAGCAAGAATAGTACCAGACATACATCAAATGTTTTTTTCTTGCTGTTTACTTGAAAACAGTAGCATAAACATCTACCGCACAGCAGACATGTAGAATCTCAGGCCCTACCCTAGACCTACAGAATCCCAATATGTGTTTTCACAAGAACTCCACACAACTTTTCTGTGTGTTCTAAATTGAGAAGCCCACACTACATGTGCCAGATGAGCACTACTTAGCTTAGGGGATAGGTGGAACAGATCTCAGCAGAATCAATGGGTTGGATTTGTTCTGTGTTGATCTTAGACATTGGAAAGATGCATGTGAGTGAGTAGAGAGATACTTAGTTTAAAATACAAAGGTGGCACAGCGGTGGTTCAATGGCACTACATGGGAGAAGTCATAGGTTCACATCCTAGGACTTCTCAGAGCACACTGTGTGCATGTCATGATTCAGGCCAGCTCAGACTGGCTGAATCCAGTGTGGTGTCCCTGTTGAGAGTGTTTGTTTCTCTCTCTCTCTCTTTCTCTCTCTGTCACTCTTTTCCATTTTTTCATAGAAGAAATAAGTAAAGTCTTTAAAAGGGAGAAGTCATAGGTTCACATCCTAGGACTTCTCAGAGCACACTGTGTGCATGTCATGATTCAGGGAATCCAGTGTGGTGTCCCTGTTGAGAGTGTTTGTTTCTCTCTCTCTCTCTTTCTCTCTCTGTCACTCTTTTCCATTTTTTCATAGAAGAAATAAGTAAAGTCTTTAAAAAAGCTATAAAGAAATCTAAACATGCTTCTGGACGGTTAAAATCCAGGATGCAAGCCTTACAACCAAGGATTGTCAGTATGGTGTTTTATAAAAGAAGGGCAAGGAGGTAAGGCCTTGATGATTTGTACTGGCAAGCCCTGAGCAATCATTGGCGGGGGGTGGGGGTGGTGGGATGTTATCTCACAATGAACTGCTGGAATGGTGAGCTTGCTCAGTCATGGGGCTCACATAGTCTATTAATTCTGAATTGCTCAGAGACTTCTAACACAAAGATAAAGATATATGAGAGGGTGCGTGGGTGTGTATGTATGCACGTGCACCAGAGTGTGAGAAGGGGTAGGCAAAGGCAGGGAGGGAGAGAAATTGAGACAGGAACTCTTTCTCAATTATTTTCTGTCAATCATAATATGAAACATAATCCCCTTCCCACCCAAGGCTTTTTCCAGGGATCATGACATAACAGCAGGAAAAGAGAGTAAAAAAAATATATGATTCCAATAAATTGGGTTTGATTGGAGCTACTGCAGAGGAACCGCTTATGATCAACATCTCTCAGGATGGGGAGGTGACAGTTTGGAGGACAGCTAGAATTAACCTGACATGGGTTGCAATCCTTGTTCTGTTTCACACTGGCCTTGTGATCTGAGGAAATTGACTTTGCATCTCTGGTGAGCTCTAAGATTAGCTGTTACAACAGCGTCAATGTTTCTGTCTCTCCATGCAGCTTCAACATGAAGGTAATGGGGGCGGGGGAGCACAAGACCATTTCAGGGATGATAACAGGATTGCAGACTTAATGTCCAGGCTGGCCCTGTTTATTTTATCTCACCCCTCCCAACTCACCCCTTTCCAAAGAGTGACAGCACTGGGCTCGAGTCCTGTTTCATTGCTTCTTTTAAAAGGTGAAATACCTTGAGCCTGACATCATCCTGAAATACTATAACATGCTATGGATTTATAGCCTTCCATATTCCTGGCCCCAAGCCAGTCTCTGAAATTCATGAAATTATCAGGGGTATTTTTCTTTAACTTTAGAAGCCTGATGTTCAACCCTTCTCAGACTCTGATCATGGCCCTTTCTGTTGCTTTTACAAAAAAGCAAAATTTCAGAATTGAGAAGGGTCCTTAGAGGCCATTTGGTCTAACCTGCTTATTGAAAATTTGAGGAAACTGAGTCCTGGAGAAAGAAGGAGACTTGCCTAAGGCCATGCTGTTAAGAAAAGTCACAGCTGAGAGCAACCATAAATTTTGGCTTTGGTTTAGCATTGATTCCTGCATGTCATACCAGGCATGTCTTACTAGCTGCTTGTCTACAGATTTGCCCAAGTTGCACACTCCCTTTGGCCAAACCTGTCTGTCTCTGTCTATCTACCCATCCAACATCAATATCAGGGTTTTCCAACCTCAGCACTCACTACTGACATTTTGCACTGCATGATTCTTTGTTGTAGAATTTAGAACATTTAGCAGCATCGCTGGCTTCCACCCACTAGATGCCAGTAGCATTCCCCCATTTGTAGCAATCAAAAATGTCTCTAGACATTGCCAAATGTCTCTTAGGACCTAGGTGATAACCTCTCCCCAGCTGAGAACAACTAGATATTTATCTCTGTATCTATCTATATTTACATAAACACACACATACACATGTTTCATTGTTTTAAAAACAATTGAGAAAGGAGAACAATCTGCAGAGAACTAAGTTCACTGTTTGATTTAGCACAACTCTCATCATTTGAAGCTGCCAAAGCTCTCATCTCCAAGATTACATATATATATATACATATATATATATACACACATGTATATATATGTATACACAGATATATGTATATATACATACATACA